ATTCAATTATGAAAGAAAGTCGTGTTCCCCAACCGTGCTTTTTCTCAGGGAGAGAGTGGTTGTGAAAAGCAGAGCAGTTTGTCTCTGAGCAGCTGCTCCTTTAAGAGGAAGGAACGGGCAGTGAAAAAAATTGAGGCAATAGGCCATTTGGTCTTCACAGGAGGTGGACAGGGGCAAGCAAGCAAAATAGCAGCTAGTGCAGGGGAAAGTGGGGGTATCTAGGACAGAGGGAAATGGGGCAGTGATAGCAAGGGACCCATAAAAACAGAAGGGTCAGCAGCAGTTGATTTTATGGGTGTCTTCTGTGTACTGTAATTCCATTTAGGACCATTATAGGCCCTCAGTGATTTACTTTATTTAGGGAAGGAGAGAATTGGTGCTGGGCAACTAAAGAGGAAGTAAGCCAGAAAACAGGAATTACTGGGGTGGATGTCTAAGGAACATGGATTGGAGAAGAAGAGAAAGATTTGCAATTATGAGCCTTTGTGGAGAGAACAATGGGTTGAGTTTCTGGGATCCGGTTGGAGTAGGACAAGCCTAGGGTTCTTAGAGAAAGAAACCTACCGTTTCTGGGTTGGAGTTGGAAGCTGATTTTTGGTTTTCAATACAGTTTAAGAACTTAGAGAGAAGGGAAATAAATAGAAATCTCAAACTAGGGACATGAAAAGTTAACCATTTCACATGAAGTTACTGTTCACCATTGGGGCTGCTCCAATCCTACAAGGCCAGTGTGCATCAGAGGCAGGGGCTGCTCCAGTTGTCCCCCCTTTAATTGGTTAACTGGTTAAACAGCACATTTAACTGGTTAACTCATTAAATGGGATTTTACATTCCTACCTTAAACTGCTGTGCCCTCACACTGATGGCCTCTCCCCATAATAAAACAACATTTTTGGCCCTCAGGAAAATAGATGGACACCACTAGTGTAAGAGGCTGTGGACTTAGCTCACTGACTGCATCAATCATAATTCATCTCATCCTCTGATTTAACAGTGCTCACAGGGTAATAGCAAAATTACATGCCAAGTAAAGGCCAAAATGTGCAAAAATACAAGAAAGCTGCCTGAGAAGGGACTGACAGCTACTTCAGATCCGGCTTCTTTTAGCAAAAAATGTGGTGGGCATGGATCAGTGTTCATACTGCTATTCCCATCAGTACCTGGCCCAGGCCAGTGGATGCTAGTGATCCAACCAGTGGGCTACATTTGGTAGTGAATCCTAATCACGTGGCACTTGAGGCATGTAAAATGACTACACGATTAACCAATAGGCCTAGGCTTATTGGTTAATCTGGTCGACTTAAAAGCTAGCTCTCTGTGCATATTGGCTTCCTCCTGCCCCCTCATCCTCTGCACTATTGCCTCTGTATCAGTGCCCCTCCCCTGGTCCCAGCATTGCTGCTCTATCAGAGGCAATAGTGCAGAGGGCGAGGGGGCAGGAGAAAGCCAATATGCACAGAGAGCTAGTTTTTAAGCTGGCTCTTTATGTGCTAGCTCCACGGACCTGCTTGACCCTATCCACCCCCTGCGCGGAGGGAGAGGGCAGGAGAGGCTGCCTCAAATCAGAGTCTGTCTGTGGTGGGACCAGGCTCGCCATGGTCAGAGGCTGCTCCGGCATCCTACAGAGCAGCCTTTGTTTGTTGCAAGCCTGTTCCCACCAGAGACATAGGCTGTCTGTGGCAGCAGCCCCTGTCCGTGGAGGATCTGAGTTCCCCATGGACAGAGGCTGCTACGTCACAGAGGCTGCTCTGAATCCCCTCCGCCCCCAGCCACTGTGGACAGGGGCTGCTGCCACCCTGCGCTGCTGCCTCTGATAAAGAGGCACCAGTACCAAGTGGAAGGGACTCCCAAAGAGTTGGGCTGGGAGCACACTGGCTGCCGGTCCCGTCACAGGGCTCTATCAAATAGTCGTGTAACTGCTGAAATCTGATGTGGTTACACAACTATTCAATTACATACTAACATCCCTATTGCGCATATGCTAAAAGGAGCAAAAATTAAAGTAGCGAGTGGGATAGTTAGCAGAGAGGAAGCTTTCGGTCCTCAACCTCTCCATCAGGCTTTCCAAAACTGCATAGGTTGAACTTCTGACCATCTTGGTGAAGGTGTTAGAGAACATGACTACCTGAAGCTGTGCAAATATCTTGGGGTGGAGCGAAGAGAGCGAGGACAACAGCTGAGCTGTCTCTGGAGGTAAGTTCTCCCCTGGGTGACTGGATTCCACTTTGGTAATGATTGATTCTCCTGGTGAACTCCCTGCAGCACCATAGAGACCAAATGAGCAGGGATTATGACAAAGATTCTGTTAGTTAATGGAGTTCGTAATACCAACCTGAATCTGATGAACAACACTCAAACATATCAAAACACTGAAACACATAAAAACATTTCTATTTTCATAATAAATAATCTTTATTTTGTGCAGAAAAACTTAGGTGCTAAAGGAAGGAGACTAGGTTGGATGTGAGAAAAAGTAAATACTGTAGTACATAGAGTTAGAGTTTAAATTTTTAAAAAGAAAAGGAAATTACTATAGTATGGGAAGTAACGCATCCTTCTTGTTAAATTCCAAGTTATGAATTAGTGGGAATCTAAAAGCAAAAACATTTTAATCAAAACAGCAAGTAAGTTGTTTGAACATACATACCTCCTAGATAAAAAAAACACACACAAACAGACTAGGAGGGATTTAACCATGAACTACATAGTTCTTCAGTAAAGCCTCATGCTAGAAATCCTTTAAATTTCTCCCCATTGGTTCTGGAAGTAGAGTTACTTCAATGTAGGTAACTATTTTACAAAGCTCTTTTTCCCAAAAGCCCGTCTGGTTTCCAGACTATTGTATTTTCCTATGGAAAATCCCTATATTATGGAAATTTTACTTGTTCCTGAAACTTCGTAAAATTAAGATTTACCCAAATAATTTTCCCTAAAAAAATCTTCCACTGGCTCTTCATATGTCCAGTCTCTATTAGATGCAAAACATTTGCAAATTAATTAATGACTCCAGTCAGAGACAGACATGTAGTTGTGTTGGCCCACTGTCCTTCTGAAATCTTGCAATTTTACCTCTGAAATCAACATGTGATTTATTTCCCTGGAAAGAAATCCCATAAAATTTCTAGAAACAGGAGTGGAAAGTCCTTCAACATATACTGAGTCTCAAACTTTAGCTGCTTAAGAAACAATCCCTGACTTTCTTTGAATGCAATTATCTTAATATACTGTAGTTGGTGCAGTAATGCTGTGGTTCTTATTAATACTATACAATTATTCCTTTTGCATCAGGTGAAGGGTTACTGCCTAATATCCTATACTATACAGCAGCACAAAAGTTCCAGCTTCTCAGTCAGCATACTAAATACAATCATATGGATGTTCTGTAGATATTCATTTTACATCCATATTTATATGGAACATATCACAACAGATGCAAAAGAGAACAGATAAATATGTATAAAGATGGATAATTACAGGATAATTACAGGATGGATAGTCTCGGCTTGACAAAGCCCTGGCCGGATTGATTTAGTTGGAATTAGTCCTGCCTAGAGCAGGGGGCTGGACTTGATGACCTTCTGAGGTCTCTTCCAGTTCTATGATTCTATGACAGGAAATTCATGCTTATGAGAAGATAAATGGCACCAAATGCAGAAGTATATATATGCTGAAAGAGAAATGGATTTCTCCACAATCAGCAAAAAAACCCGAGCTCTCCCCAGGTTGTTGACTGATCCTTTAAAGGAACAACTCTATACTGGCATAAGAGAGATTATTTGGACAGTAATTGTCTTTTACCGTTCCAGATACTCGTGCTTGAATGGAAGTTGGTATTCTTAAAGTCCAGCTTCTCATTTTACTTAACTTTGCAGTGAAGTAGTTATCCTGTTGTGACTTCATATTCAGTTTCTGTAAAAATGCATGCGATGTCATAATGTACATTGCTATATCCAGGAAGGAGGATGCCAGCTAACTACAAACAACTGCAGCAGCACCAGAGAAGATGTGAGAACTAGCTGATTGTGAGAAGGAGACTGGCTACTGTCCATCTCAGCGAGTAGACAATGCTCCACCCCTCACCCCCACTGTTCTCCTATCCATCAAGATCAAGAACTGGTGTATACCTACTGACAACAGCAAGTATCTTGATGGATAGGGGAACAGTGGGGGCGAGAGGTGGAGCCATGGCTGAGGAGGAGCCATTCCTATGATTCACCCACCCCTGCTCCACCCCTTCAAAGCTGAGAGGAAACAACTTAGGGTGCTGCTAGTCAGGGACTCTCTGCTGAGGAAAACAGAGACACCCATTTGCTGATCTGACATGATCTCATGAGGGGCTACGCTGCCTGCCTGGAGTGTGTGCCTGAGACATTATGGAAAAGATGCTGATGCTCATCCATCCATCTGATCATGATCCTTTGAATGCTCATCCACGTGGCCACTAATAATACAGCCAGCTCTGACCCCGAGTTGAATAGCAGTGGATCTACAGTACTCTGGGAGCAAGGGTGAGTGGCACAGGTTGTTTTCTTATCTATCCTTCCAGTTGAGGGTTAGGGCACAGGCAGGGGCACACACATCTTGGAGATAAATGCGTGGCTGTGCAGATGGTGTTGATGGAATGGCTTCAGCTTCCTTGACTACGGAATGCTATTCAAGGAAGATCTGCTGGGGAGAGATATGGTCCACCTGACAAAGACGGAGAAGAGCATCTTCATGAACTGACTTGCCAACCTTGTGAGGAGGGCTTTAAACCAGACTCAGAGCAGGTGACAAAAGCTCAGGTAAGTATTAGAAAAAGGTGACCTTAATAGGCAGTTATATGTTGAAGGGAGGGCCTAGAAAATTACCAAAGGGTCAAGGAGCAACAAAAAGGAAATCAGTGTGGGAATCTAATCAACATTTTAAGATGTCTCTACACAAATAAAGAGACAATGGAGAATGAACAGCAAGACCTGGAAGTATTATTTTATTGGCACCACAAAGACTTGTTGGGATAAGTCTTATGACTGGAATATTGGTATAGAGGGACTTAACTTGTTCAGAAAGGACAGATGGGGGGGAGGGGAAAAGAGAGGTGTGGTTGCATTGTACATAAATATATACACTTGTTCCAGGGCCCAGAAGGAGATGGAACACAGATTAGTTGAGAGTTTCTGGGTAAAGATAAAAGGGTTAAAAAAAATCAAGATGATAGCATGGTGGGGATCTACTCTAGCTCACTACATCAGGAAGAGGTGGATGAAGCATTTCTAAGAGAACTGAAATATCCAAAACACGAAATGGGGAACTCTAACAGACATCTATTGGGAAAGTAATACAGCAAAGCACAACATTTCCAAGCAATTCTTGGGATGTATCAGGGACAATTTTTTGTTCAAGAAAATGGAGGAAGAAAATGGAGGACAGCCATTTTAGACTTTATTCTGACAAACAGGGAGGAATTGGTAGCAAATCAGAAGTTGAGAGCTATCATTTCATGATCACTGTCGCCCAAATTGTAAAGGAAAGAATGAGTGCAGAAAAATAAGGGTGATGGACTTAAAAAAAAAAAAAAAAAAAAAAGCAGACTTTAACAAACTCAGAGAACAGTTAATAAAGTCCCAAGGGAAGAAAGTTTAAGAGAATTCTGGGAAGCTGGCAGTTCCTCAATGAGATAATAGTAAAGGCACAACTGCAAACTACTGTGATGCAAAGGAAAAACAGGAAAAATATGAAGAGGCTAATACAGCTATAGTGAGAGGCCTTTAATGATCTGAAAATCAGGGGAGGGCGAAGGCAGTGCATAGAACCCCCATAGCCATTCCTGTCTTGCAGCAGCAGGGACATGGCTTCCAGGGACCCACGGAGAGCCAGGTAGGGAGCCTGCCAGCTCTGCACCAACTGGACTATAAACCAGACTTTCAGTGAAGCTCAGAAGACAACACAGGCTGGAAAAAACACCATATTCTAACTACAGGCAGTCCCCGGGTTACGTCAATCCGACTTACATTGGATCCCTAGTTACAAACGGGGGGGGGCAGCTAGTGCGGGGTGCTTCCCCCACTGTTGCCGCCTCCGGTGGCGTGGGGGGTGCTTCCTCCCAGCAGACCAGGGAGACACGGAGTGGCTTTTCTCGCCGCGGAGGACGCACCGCCTGACATACTGTAGTTAATTTCACTATGGAACAAGACACCAGCCAAAAGGGGGCACTCCAGAGTGGAAAAAATAATTTCCTAGGGAACAGCAGGAGCAGCAGGCAGTGAGACCCATTGTGTTACAGTCCCCACCTTGGGAGCAACAGCTCTT